CAAGTAATCCAACTTAAAATACCCGCTCCCTAATATTTACATACATACATTTTCAATTATATACATATTAGGAAAGAATAGAGAGAAGAGATAGGAAAGTTAAGTAGAGGAAGGGATACAACTCATGTGATCACACAAAACGTTTTGATTGATGAATAAAAGTTTGCACACCTTTAAAAACGTATTCATTATTTTACTCGATTATTTACAGACCGCCGCCATATAGCTGGGATATTGCTGAGTGCGGCGTAAAGCTAAACTCACTCACTCACTCACTATGACGTAGGGATTACGTGAAATAAGCGCATGCGCAAACCATTAGTTTGCGTTCTGCTTGACATCGCTTTAGAAAGCGTAGTTTGGTTTTCAAAGCATAAACAATGTGATAATTATGATGTCGTGCTTATGTAGAAAAGTGGTTGATTACTCATGTTTGTATTGCTTTAAGTGATGGAGTTTCAATTGAGATCTTATTTTGTTCCGTCAACGCTTCCTTCAATCTGCTGAAAGTGTACAGCAGAGTGACGTCAACACTGGTTTAATGACGCGTTTACGAATATACTTTAGTTGTGTAGCAGCTTGTCTGGAATATTGTTACAGTTTTTCAGTGCCAACCCTAAAGATACCATGCCTCGGATCAACATGGATAGCCCACCGAGACACACATTCCACTCGACCCGTGAAGGTCCGGGTTAGAATATTGATCTTCAGTAACCCATGCTTGTCGTAAGAGGCGACTAACGGGATCGGGCGGTCAGGCCAGCTGACTTGGTTGACACATGTCATCGGTTCCCAATTGCGTAGATCGACGATCACTGGATTGTCTGGTCCAGCTAAATAATCGATTTTTAAAATATGTTTTTGAAAACATGACGATGACGAGTCAGAAGCCACCAACATCACCAGCCAAAGGCACAATGAATTAAAAATCCTTTTGGTCTAAAGTGTAAATTTTGCCAGGTTTTCCTTTTTGAATTGCTTGGGAAATATGTCATAAGATACTGTCTGTAACTTCCCAACTTCCAAAATGCCACTCAGAGAAGTTATCACTGCGACACTTGAATGTAGCCAAGAGTTGACTTTGAAAATGCAACTTCTTTATTCCTTCATTGTGAGGTTTCAGTATATACAAACATGAATTTATTGATAATTTTACTCAAGTCAAATCAGCAATATTTTTCAAATATTGATCCAAAACGGCTTTCTGCCGTCTAGCTATACGTCTGTAAAAGAATATGACAGATATTGGGACATTTTACTTCCGTTTCATCAAACACTTACAGACCGCCTCCGTGGTGTAGTGGTTAGAGCGTCCGCCCGGAAAGCGGAAGGTCGCGGGTCCGATCCCCGACCGCGTCATACCAAAAAGACGTTAAAATATGGTACTTGTTGGTCCCTGCCTGGCGCTCGGCATTAATGGGTACAACAAGGACTGGTCGGCTCGGAGTCAGTATAATGTGTCTGAGTGGGGTATTCATGCTTCACTGCGGCATGGTATCTCAGTGGGCTAGCACTATAAAACCAGCTTCAGTCTGGGCTAGTACAAGCAGCCGCACATACACATACACACGCATGCACGTCGTCATATGAGCGAAATATTCTCAAGCACGACGTTAAACCCAATTTCACCTCACCTCACCTCACCTCACCTCACCTCAAACACTGACAGCGCATGTGAAGTTTCGTCTGACTACAATCTCATCAAAATCAGGGTTTAATGATGCAAAATAAAAAAAGCACACACAAAAAACAACAAACATATGTGCAAATAAATAAATGACTCAAGAAGTGAAGATTTGACGACGCCTCCATGGAAGGTCGCGTCAGGTGAATTTTCTAAGAAGCCAGTTGGCGTCGGGTTCTTAGTACCAGTTGGCGAAGCATTCAAAGCTGCACATCTGAATTCTGAATCTCCCAAAAAGACAATAACACGACCGGTACCGAATGTAAATTAACAATTACAGCGTTGCGATTTTGTATGCACACGTTTCTCGCAATCTCAAACTACACGGCCTTGATTTCATTTACTATTAACACGGAAAAATTGGACAAAGGTTTACCAATATTTTGTAATTGAAAACTGGGAATATTACAGACTATAGTCCGTTTGGCTCAAAAGCGGACCGATGAATTGCAATCTAACTCGAAAACTAATAAACATAAAATACTCAATGAAACGCTGATCATAATCAAAACATCATACCAACTCTGTGAGGTTTTTGCAGAATTTTTGTCCTAAAAATAAAAGTGCAGAGAAAGGGACAGCCAGGTGTTCGAGAAGCACGTTCACAGACAAAGTTATTTATTCATTAACCTGTGCTGTGCCGTCTCCATCCGTTCCTTTCTCTACACTCCTCCCTCGTAACAAATAGTGAACTGTGTCAATATTTTAATGATAGATTGTTAAACAACTTTTTAATTTTTAGGACAAAAATTCTGCAAAAACCTCCCCGAGTTGGTATGATGTTTTGATTATGATCAGCGTTTCATTGAGTATTTTATGTTTATTAGTTTTCGAGTTAGATTGCAATTCATCTAACCAAGGAACTTCTTGACCTTGGGTTCATTGAACCCTCCAATTGCCCATGGCAGAGTCCGGTGGTCTTAGTCAAGAAGAAATCGGGTGAGTTCCGTTTGGCCATAGATTACGGATGTGAATAAGATAACCGTTCCGGCTTCCTATCCTTTGCCTCGCCTGGAAGATGCATTTGATGCTATTGGTGATTCCCTTGCTCAAATATTTTCCACACTTGATTTGGCATCAGGGTTCTGGCAAATTCCTATGGATTCTGAAACAGCTCACAAGGCGTCCTTTGTCACGCAGAGTGGCCTATACACGTGGCGTGTTATGCCTTTTGAGTTGCGCAATGCTCCCTCCACATTTCAGATGGTCATGGCTTGAGCCCTGCAAAGGTATATGTGGCACGCACGTGATTTTACCAGTGTGAAATACAAACAGCTGTAAAGACAGATAAACGTAATGCACCTTTGTTCTATTAGCTTTAGAGATACTGGTCCCGATTATGTCTGATGCCAGATATCAGTGTGACCCTTGGCAGGTTTAAAATTGAGGAACGTGGTCAGTTAGTCTGTAATATTCCCAGTTTTCAATTATAAAATATTGGTAAACCATTTGTCCAATTATTCCGTGTTAATACTTTTGCCAATTTGAGTGGCTACACTGCTATGTTTAGCATCAATCAGCAATTGAAACCAGAGTCACTGTTGTCAAGGCTATCGGCAGAATGAATTATGATCACCAGATGTCCTGTCGGATCTGGTGCAATTCGCAAATGGACTTTCATCCAGACATATTCCACAGTTTTGGAGTTCTCCAGAAAAGGAAGAATGACGGTGGGCATTCTGGTCGCTAATATATGACCAGTGCTGTTATACAAAACAACCTTAGTGGTAAGACTACCTTAAGTCTATGTTAGATATGGGACTTACGGTCACCTTAGCGCTAAGATCGCTTTGTACAACGGCACCCTGGAGTTTTGGAATGGACACTCAAAATACATCCCTTCTTTTGATGGAAAAGATGTCTTCAGTTCCTTCGTTACCCCCCTTACCTTTACCAGTACTTCAATGTTCGATTGGGTGGCAATATGTTAATAAGAATCATTGGCGGGTATTGTGCCTCTACAAGAACAACTGTAACGAACCAGTGGTTAGAGAAGGGTAACGTAATGCCAGATGAAAACGAAGAAATTTAACTCTGCAAAGCGAATAGGTTAGAAAGGTCCCCTGCAACACGAGCAGCGGGTAAAGCATGGGCAGATTTGTCCTGCACAGCTAGACATTAGCTAGGTACTATGTTCGATGTTACGGTGTTCTTAAGATTCTTAAACATTACCAAAATTACAAAGCGAAATGACTGATCAACAGACAAGTGGCCTAAAGAACTAAAAGCTAACGATGTTTAATTCATGTGGTCGTTTAGTTTGTAATTTAGTGAGTTGACCAGAAATATCAACACACAGGTCGATGTTGAAAATGGGGTGCGTCATTGTTTGCATTTCGCCATGTAACGGCGGCTTTCATAACTTGGACTGCTTCTCTGAAAGTAACGATGGCATTCTTCTGGTGACGTGTACATTGCTATAGATTTTATGAAAATGCTATATAAAAAATTTAATCACCCGTTCTTGGATGGTTCTATAGTAAATACATGGTGTGTCGCCCAGTAGTGAAGACCGCCGTTGTGGAGTCCAAGGGCTAAGGTCAGTAAAGCGCCAGCGCAGCAATACCCCGGAACCAGGGGGAAGAGCCAGAAACCTGGTCTCTCTAAATAGAGTTCACTGTTTGATGATGTACATTGCAATGTTGCCGCTACATGTATATACTGTTCAACTGTAGACCAGACTGGTGGTTAATACCATGAGCTACGCTCCACGCCATCCACGACACTCAGTCAACCTGCTCACAGAACCTGTCCACACATCCATTATTGTTCCACAAACATTGGTTTCTGGGAATCTTTTGTCACCCACTATGGATGAGACCTGTCCAGAAGTAGCCTACACACACACGCCAATTAGTGTGTGTGTCTGTCTGCGTGTCTGTCTGGCAGTGGGGTAGCCTAGTTGTTAAAGTGTTCACTTATTCACATTGAAGACTTGGTTTCGAATCCCCACCTCAGGGCACAACCTGTGAAGTCCATTTCTGGTGTCGACCACCATGACATTGCTAGAATAATGCTAAAAGCTTCGGAAAACTAAAACCACTCTGTCTCAGTCTGTCTGTCCAACCATCTGTCCATCTGTCTGTTTGTCTGTGTCTGCATTTGTGTATCTGTGTGTCTTATGGGCATAACTGAAATAATGCTAAAAGCTTTGTAAAACTAAAACTACTGTCTGTCTGTCTGTGTCTGTCAGCTTTGTGTATCTGCATGTTTTTGGGCATGCTAATGTGTATGCATAAAACTATTAAAAGCTTGAGGTAGCACACACTCTAAGCCCTTCTAAGTTCAGGCAGAAATCAAAGCAAATATTTGCCCCTACAACAGATATTTTGTATTACACAACAAAGACTGAAGCCAGTTACAGATTTCTAAAACACAATCTGGTGTGCAGCTTGCAGGGAGTCTCCCACGGTGCTGAAGCTGCTGTTAAGTGGCTTGTCCAGGTGAACCACCCCCCACAGGGCAGAATCCACCTCCTGTGATAGGGACAGGCTTGTCAGTCTCGACCCCACCTTCTCCAGTCCATCTGAAAATAGAGAACATCAACGTTTGTTGGTTTGTTCTTTGTTTGTTGGTTGTTTGTTGGTTGTTTACTAGTGTTGGGAATTGGTTAAACTCTCATAATTGATGATTGCTTCATTACAACCGATCAATCATCGAAAATAATTGGTTAGCGTAATTTATGATTTTTTCCTGCTTATTTTTGTTAATGCACACAAACATAAAGAAAAAACATGTAGTTCTTTGTATTTTTTGTAAATTTCACATCTTGAAAGGATGACTAGTATGTTAGGAACATACATTTCTTGGGGTCTTTGAGATAAATTCAATCATGACTTGGAACGAGCTTGTACTGCTCATGAAATGTAACAGACAAAACCAACCTTGGGAAAAATATTGTTAATGCAAAAAGTGTTCCAGAATTGTTTGTGTTCGATTATGAGAAAACATGATCGATTGCTTGGTCGTTTAGTCACTGCAACCAATCTTCGATTATTTCAATTAATCGGACCACCACTATTGTTTACTAGGGCTGCAACGAGTCCACTATGCGGTAGATACTATAAATACCATGAACATAGGGTATACAATAGGAGTATCTTTCATGAGTACCAGGTTTCCCTAGCTGATATTTTGTTCATTATCTTCAGTCATATAATAACAAAATGAATTATTTGACATGTTTTGACCACGATGACACTGTTAATTTATTATGACAATGATCAGTGACCATATCATCATAATATATATAATACATAAGAGTGTAGGCTATTATTCTGCATGGAGTGGATAAGAGGTCAATTGAAGTAAAACATTTTTTTAAATCCAGAATTTTAACTACATCATATTGGACTGAATGTGTGTGGTTTTACTTCACTTTTTGCAATATTCAAGCAATATCAAAGTGAGGGACACCAGAATTGGGCTTCACACATTTCACGCTGGACATTACATAATGAAATCGGGACCCATCAAACCAGTGATTGACATGGTGAGCAACAGTACTGACCGATCAGGTACAAACAAGTCAGTGACGATTAATCCATTGGTAACCCACTCTAACCCATGGTTGAAAATTGAATGAGTGTTTGTTTGTTTGTTAGTTTGTTTGTCATATTCTTGTTTCATGCTATAGATGCCACTGGAGAAAACTGGGCCCAGATTTTCGAAGCTCTCTTAGCGCTATGATAGTCGTAAGTTAATGTTAATGTATGGCACTTACGACTATCTTAGCGCCAAGAGAGCTTCGAAAATCTAGGCCCAGGAGTATTCCCCAAGCTCTCTGAGTATGTTCCCTGATTTGTGGGCACCATGGTCTGGTGTTTTACTGAACCTTCACCTTGGTTAACACCCACACAGCTGAGCTGACACTTTTGTCACACAGAAATACTTTTCAATGGAGGTGTAAACCCAACGTTACACATGCACCCATGCTACCCATGGAGTAGAATTGCCCTCCAGTAACTCATGCTTGTCTTAAGAGGCGTTTAACGGGATCAGATGGTCAGACTTGCTGACTTGGTTGACACATGTCATTGCATCCCATAAATCGATGCTCATGCTGTTGATCACCGGATTGTTTAGTCCAGATTAGATTATTTACAGACTGCTGCCAAATTGTTGAATGCAGCATTAAACAACGAAACAAATGCACTCAGTACTCACTCATTCACTCTGGCCGCACAATGAGTTTTGAGCAACATGAGGTAGCACTTACTTGCTACTGAAAGCAGAGCAGAGTTGTTCCCCTTGAATACTAAGGCTGGTCCGCTAAGAACTGGGGGAAAGGAGAAAGCAGCTCCCTGGATCTCAACCAGAGTGGCATTGGACCCAGACACAGTTCCTTTAATTGTGATGGGTCCCCCGCTAGTCTGTATCGTCACGGGCAACAAGACAGCAGAAGGATCCTGGGATGGTATCTTCATGTTTTACATCAACCTGGAAGGAAGCAAGCAATGGATGAATCAGTGAGTGAGTGAGTGTTATTATATTGCAGTCAAAAAAGTAACGTTACAACATTGGTTCAGTGTGTTAAGGTTCGTTTATTATTTAATACCACACACAGCAATCTTTCAGCTATATGACTGCAGACTATAAATAATCGAGTGATTGATGTTGTGAAAAAAACATCTGATTATATTCAGAGGCCCAGATAAGCTGCGTATCCGGGTAAAATACGCATATAAAATTTCCAATTACGCATTGAAAAATAATTGTTGCGTACCAATTACGCATTTAAAATGTTAGATACGCAAAAAGTTTAAAACAAATGCGTACGGAATATATTAATAAAAATCGCTTGCGTAATGGAAAAGACATCGATTGCTATCAATTGCAAGTTGTACTGTTAGTATAGGACTAGTGTTGTACTGTCAGTATAGGATGAGTGATTTTTTATGAAATCATTTCCATTATATTTAAGTTGGTTTTGATTAGGTGTGACATAAGGTAGAACATACCTGCTTAGTTAACTTACTCAATGACATAATACTTAGGTGAGTAAAATGACTGAAATACGTGAAATATGTGAAATACGCACATATTTGAAAGCGGTGGGTAACGGAAAATGAAATACCCACTCAAAATTCATAATACCCACTCCAAAAAAATACAGTGGGTACAGTACCCACATGAGCTAAATCTTATCTGGAGCTCTGATATTAGTATACCATATGGTGTCATGGTTTGTGAGCCGATTCATCTGGCGCTCCCAAAAAACTCAGGTAGAACTGAAGAAACTGATTTTTGACATTGGTAATACTAGTATTGAGAAATACTACCACATTTTTGCTAATAATACAGTTTAGGTTAGTTTAGTTCTGAATGATACATCATATTTACTGGAAACAACATCATCCATGCTAATCTCCAGGTCTACCTCCTTGGCTGGTACAGGTGAGCTGACGAGAATGAGGTAGAGGTAAGTTCACCCTCAACCTTTGGCTTAGTTCCTTGCCTTGTACAGGGGAGTTAACAACAGGGAAATTCTCCACTCACCTTCAGGCCTGCCTCCTTGGATAGTACAGGTGTGTTAACGACTCACATCTCGGCCATTGCACTTCAATAGTACAGGTGTGTTAACGACTCACATCTCGGCCATCCCACTTCAATAGCACAGGTGTGTTAATGACTCACATCTCGGCCATCGCACTTCAATAGTACAGGTGTGTTAACGACTCACCACTAGGTGATCCCACTTTAATAACACAGGTGTGTTAACGACTCACATCTCGGCCATTGCACTTCAATAGTACAGGTGTGTTAACGACTCACATCTCGGCCATATCACTTCAATAGCATAGGTGTGTTAAAGACTCACATCTAGGCCATCCCACTTCAATAGCACAGGTGTGTTAACGACTCACATCTCGGCCCTATCACTTCAATAGCATAGGTGTGTTAACGACTCACATCTTGGCCCTCCCATCTCTATAGCACAGGAATAGTACAAGTGATTTAATCACTTACTTCCAGGCCTGCCATCTTGACTAGCACAGGTGTGTTAACAACTCACCTCTAAGTCAGCCTACTGAGATAGTACAAGTCATTTAATCACCTACTTCCAGGCTAGCCTCTCTGGCTAGTACAGGTGTGTTAACAACTCACCTGTAGGTCATCCAACTTAGATAGTTCAGGTGATTTGATCACTTACCTGTAGGCCTGCCTCCTTGGCTAGTACAGGTGTGTTAACGACTCAACTGTAGGTCATCCAACTAAGTACAGGTAATTTGATCACTTACCTGTAGGCCTGCCTCCTTGGCTAGTACAGGTGTGTTAACGACTCAACTGTAGGTCATCCAACTTAGTACAGGTGATTTGATCACTTACCTGTAGGCCTGCCTCCTTGGCTAGTACAGGTGAGTTGACGAGATTGAGCTGTGGCTGGTCACCAGATGCCTGGTTGCGCAGGTAGCCGACCAACACAGCTGCGTTCAGGTACCTCCCCGCGTTGCTCAACGATGCACCTGGAAATGATTGTATTGGAGTTGTCTTCAGTGTACTTCAGCAATATTCCAGCATGATCGCAAAGTTACCACATGAATTTTGAAACCAATACATTTAGCATGACAACAACCATGTTATAATGATAATTCATGAATTTATATAGCGCATGATTCACAGTCCTATGCTCTGTGCGCTTAGCAGAACAGTCTTTAATTGTGACTTGAAAGATTCAAGTGAAGAGGCAGATTTAAGGTTTTCGGGTAGACAGTTCCATTTTTCCAGAGCTGCATATTTGAATGTTCTCTTGCCAAAAGTTGAAGTCTGAATTTTTGGAATGATGAAAAGTTTTTGCTTTTGTGATCCGAGAGGTCTCAGAGGAGGACAGATGTTGAGTAGTTCAGCGAGGTACGGTGGAGCAATTTTGTGAAAACACTTGTAGGCATACAGAAGTATTTTATAGTCAATGTGGAAAGAAACTGGCAACCAATGGAGATCTTTCAGTAATGGGGTTTGACGTCTTTTGATCTGTTCTTTAGTGGCATTGAGGTGAGGTGAGGTGAAATTGGGTTTTACGTCGTGCTTGAGAATATTTCGCTTATATGACGACGTGCATGCGTGTGTATGTGTATGTGCGGCTGCTTGTACTAGCCCAGACTGAAGCTGGTTTTATAGTGCTAGCCCACTGAGATACCATGCCGCAGTGAAGCATGAATACCCCACTCAGACACAGTATACTGACTCCGAGCCGACCAGTCCTTGTTGTACCCATTAATGGCAGGGACCAACAAGTGCCATATTTTAACGTCTTTCGGTATGACGCGGTCAGGGATCGAACCCCCGACCTGCCGCTCTCCGGGTGGACGCTCTAACCACTACACCACGGAGGCGGTTGTAGTGGCATTGACAAGTAAACAATTACAATAGTCCAATCTGGATAAAATATGGGAAACAGTCAGTTTTTGTGCAGCAGGTCTGGTGAGGTATGGACGGATCTTTCCGATGTTTCTGAGATGATAGTTTGTAGTCTGGCACACGAGAAACATGGTGATTCATACTCAGCTGTAGGTCAAACAGTACACCCAAATTCTTTAATTTTGCTGGTGTTATAACTGTTATAACAACCATCACAACATCGATAATCAACATCTATACTGATAAAAAGAAGTAAGGGAACACCTGATCCTTTCATATCACTAAATTCATATCACAATCAATGAAAAATCAACTTTTTGTAAAGTACTCAAATAACAAATAATCACCATTATAAATCATGACACTGTAATATGCTAGTGTTCATAATTCTTTATAACTACATTGGAATTAATTTACATCTAATATATAGACAGATAACAGTGTGGCAGATGTAGACTATCTTAATAAGCTCCAGAACATACTGTATAGAACTGCATCTCTTAAGCATGGCAAAATGTTTTGATTATAGGGCTGAGTCTGCGACAGTACAATTGTAATCCCAAATATAACATATGTTAGATTTGACCACTTTCTAAATGGCATTGTGTATTCCTAGCTTTCAGCCATGGAAGCCGTGCCAATTTACACTTATCAGAGGGGAACACAAAGTCCGCAGTCTTGACTACCAGTTGTCCAACTTCCATTTTTGTGGAAGCCACGACGGATGAGCGGGTTAGGCAGCTGACTTTGTGTGCTGACGATTAGAGCCTGACTCTGAGGGTGTGGGTTCGTATCCCGGATGGGACTCAACCCGACAAAAGTATTAGAATGTGTACTTTACGAAGAAAGTGTAATCCCAAATTGACATATGCTACATTTGATCGCTTTCTAAATGGCATTGTGTATTCATCGATTATTTACAGACCGCCGCCATATGGATGGAATATTGCTTGGTGCGGCGTAAAACTAAACTCACTCACTCACTCAGTAGAATCTAAGCAGTTCAAAGCAGCTAGAACCTTCCTCACTAACTCAATCTAAGGTATTACCATATGTTGTGAGCTGGACACTCTTGGAGGCACCGGCTGCGATGGCCGAAGCCAGACTTCCCAGGCCCTCTCCTAAACTGACCAGTGGTTTTGTCTCTGGACTCAGGGCATTGGCCAGGGCAGGTGCGTTTATCTGCAACAAGTTACATGCACATCAACATCAGCAGCCTTGGCACCAAACACAACAGCATCTACACCATCTACAACAGCATCTACACCATCTACAACGGCAGCAACATCCTGATTATGAAGCAAGTTATGGTGAAGCAGAATGGGGTGTAAAATTGTTCACATGATTTTGGCACGTTTAACAACTGAAGTGTTTTCACTAATCTGGACTCTCCTGGTTGTGAAATGCTACTCAACTGAGATGCTATGTTGTAATTTAACCCAAAAATGTTGCATTTAACTTTTATTGCAACCAAACAGAAACCTTTTAACCCAGGCATAACGGGACACCTCAAAATGAACGCACCGCTCCAAACAGACTGGTTCCCTTGGTGAGATCCACAAACTGCTGAGCAATCTCCTCGGCAACACGAGTCTGTGCTTCTATCGTGCTGGCTCCCAGGTGAGGCGTGGCAATTACCTTCGGGTGCTTCACTATGGGAGAGTCTTTCGGGGGCTCCTGGTAAAAACACAAGCGAATAGGTGAGTGGGTGGGGATAGGTAAGTCAGTAGGTGAGTCTGTAATTGGGTGAATCAGTGAAGACTTGAGATAATGTTTGGGTGAGTTTTCCAAAATTCCATGCATTTGTATAGTAGTGAATGACAAGTATGACTTGTGACTAACCTACGTTTTAACTCATCTATTAATTATTTGCTTAAAGTATAACTTGTGACTCACCTCCGTTTTAACTCATCTATTAACTATTTGCTTAAAGGTCACATGCAACCAAAAAATCAAACATAATTAAAACACAATTATCACTTATTCATGACATATAATATACATTGCTGGTTATGAAAAAACATATAAACAAAATTATAAGCGTACAATCGCAAATCAAAAGTGCAATATTGTGTACTTGGGTTTACTTCCCAAGAAACGAAGCAGCCGGGATACCGAACCCAGTCAGAGCGGGTGGGTATGCACTCAAATGTAACGGCTGCTTCATTTGCAGATGCCCTCACGGCTCATTGTGTGTGTATATATAGAGATGTTGGGTTTTGTAAATACATGCTCATATTTTGTGTATAACTTTTTTAAACAATCAACAGACATCATAACATGTCATGTGTTCAAGTATCACACCTGCCTGTCTGTGTAATTACATAATGTGACAGAGACCGAACTCGGGCCATAAATCAATGCATTTTGTTTATGGTGTATAGCCTGATTGGTGTTAAGTTCAAATTGCATGTGGTCAGTGATAGCAGCTGTGTATTGAATATTGTCATTAGCAGACAGGCAGGCAGACACACAGGTGTCAATAAAACAAGACATTGAGTTTTGTGTGTGACAACGACATATCTATATCACAGTTAGAAATTCTGTCAACGCTAAATAATGACATTGCTTTCAAGTATCGAACTGAGAAAGTGACTCGGTAAGAAGAACGTGTGGTGAAATAGACAAATGAAATTATATAAACAGTTAATTTACTGTCATAACATATAAAAAGCTCGCGCCTGTGAGATTTAACAAAACATTAGAAAAATAGCTCACACCAAAGCCTTCACCGAGTATTCACCGGACAACCCGCTTCCAAGCTGCGCGAACCTATTTCACTGTGCATGTGCTATGAGCGCAGCCCAGCTGTTGAAACCAGTTTTCCCCCGAAAAGTCTGAAACGAAACGTCTGAACTCCGATTTCACGCGGGTTTTTTCATCGCGTTATTTTTCAACTTTATAAGTTGAATTTGCATTTTTGACGATTTGTTTCGGTAAGTCCATACCGAAAGGTATCAGAATCTGCAAATTTGTGTTTTACGTATCATGTGACCTTTAAAGTATGACTTGTGACTCACCTACGTTTTAACTCATCTATTAATTATTTGCTTAAAGTATGACTTGTGACTCACCTACGTTTTAACTCATCTACTAATTATTTGCTTAAAGTATGACTTGACTCGCTACGTTTTAACTCATCTATTAATTATTTGCTTAAAGTATGACTTGTGACTCACCTACATTTTAACTCATCTATTAATTATTTGCTTAAAGTATGACTTGTGACTCACCTACGTTTTAACTCATCTATTAATTATTTGCTTATGTTTATTAAAGTGAAAGCAAGGGAACAAATGAATTCCAAATTATCATTTCATGAGTTTGAAATTACATATTCTGTGGTCCTGTGCTCAAAGCTCAGGTCACAAATCAGTGAAGTTAAGCAGCGTCGAGCTCGGAGAGTCCTTGGATGGGTGACCGTGTTTGGCAGCTTGACTCCTGAGAGTTTCTAGGACTTGAGCCCTGCCCCACAACGAAGCACATGTGACACATGTGGTCTCACCTTAGGCAAGTGAGTTTGTTCAAAATTGTCTCTGTTCACCCAGCAGGAAAATGGGTACCCGGTGGAAAAAGTCATATGACTATAACCTTCTAGCGCCTAACAGGCAGCTCGGGTTATCCGGGGTAATAATGTGCTGTGCCATGATTGTTAGCTCTATGAGCATACCTAGTGTGGAGTTTGGCGCTATATAAATGGACACATTATTATTATTATTATTATTTATTCTTCAATTGTGAAGATGACTTGAAGCACTCATAAAATGACCCAGCGTGTCCAATGTGAATCCAGTGACAACAGTTACCTCCACAAATACGTCCAGACCGGCTCCAGCACACTGCCCCGACTCCAGAGCCCGGAGCAGGGCATCCTCATCAATGATGCCCCCCCGGGCACAGTTGACCACTCGCACGCCCTTCTTACATGCACTGAACACTGTGTCGTTTATCAAATCTGAAACAGGAAAATAGTAACTTATAACATGACACCCTTCGAACACACAGGGATGCAAAGGGAGCATGGGGTTTGTAGAAGATGGGACATGTGGGGGCGTGGGCGCACGGTTGGGCTTATTAATCTTGTTGCCTAATCAGGGTTCGAAATACCCCATATATTAGTGCACCATGGCACGGTAAATACATGTATTGAAATGGCACATATACAAAATTTTCCCGGAGCCCTTATGGTACACCTAAGTTTTTAGAGACATAACTCACCTTTAGTCATTTAATCAAAAACAAAACACTTGCGCAAATGACAAACAAGTAAAAACATTTATTGACTTTGTCTGCTTAGGGGCCGTTCATAATTTATAGCACACACGCACGCACACGCACACTCTTGTTAAGTTATAAAACACTTTTAAATCATCCAAGATTATGGAATGATATTAATGTTCATAGAATTAGCAGCTTAATGATGAAACCCATGTCGTGCCAACAAAATTTTATTCTCACCTATTTTGGCAATCTTTGCTTAGTTTCTACATTCAAATGTTGGGCTAGTGAATTATTTTGTAGGCTACTAACTTTCAGGCATAGCTAAGCAGGGCTGGCTAGCAAAATTTGGAAACTATTTCACACTGCTCATACCTGTACATAGGCTATCAATAGTCATAGCACTACAGTAGTTTCGTACAATGGGAATCAGGGCGAGTATAAAGACAACAATGGAAACTGAAACCTATTTGTTCACCTACTTTTTGTCTGTGGGATGAGAGGAGTATGAACGGTGATGTAGTCGACTTGAGGCCAAATTTGTTCCATAGGCAGCCATTCAACATCCCACTCGGAACACACATCAGCTCCGATAATCGGGTCGTATCCTATCGTCTGGGGAGAAAAATATTGTAGCATCAACTAACACAGAATCATACAGCTGTATACTGATTGGCCATCTACCTACAACATGTCCTACGAATTGATACGTTGCGTACACACAATTCACAATGATCACTGTATGGCTATCTTGGTATCTATGTCACAATCTCAAATCAAAGATAATAAGAATCATTTTGATATTTTACTCCCCTTAAACAAATGTTTTCAACGCACTGAAGGTTTTGTTGAATTACTGTATCGAAATTTGCAGAATAAAAAAGTTCACCCAGGGCAACCTTATATGGAGGTATCCTCAGGTCTTCATGAAGGGATAGGAGTGAGTGAGTGAGTTTAGTTTTACGCTGCACTCAGAAATATTCCAGCTATATGGAGACGGTCTGTAAAAAATGAAATCTGGACCAGACAATCCAGTGATCTACAGCATGAGCATCGATCTGCGCAATTGGGAACCGATGACATGTGTCAACCAAGCCAGCGAGCCTGACCACCCAATCCCATTAGCCGCCTCTTACGACAAGCATGGGTTACAGAACATGCCGAAGGTTCATTCTAACCCGGACCTTCCCAGGTTGTTCAACATTGGAAGAGTCCCAAAGTTACACAAGTGATGCAGGTCCTTAGATCTATTTACTTGAAACCAAGCAAACCAGGGATCAACAATCATAGGTTCCTGTAGTCTGTCTCACTGTCCCTGAACCACATTATTTTCCCTTCCTCCCACTGGCCCCAGCTCCTTCTTCATTGCTAAATCCTAAAATAAGGCAAGTCTCAAGGATTTAACTTGAGCCCTGCATTTCAGGGTCCCTGGGACTCATACTCTTAATTTTCAGGGGTCCTGGACAACAAAATGGGGGTCCTGGACAACAAAATGGGGGTCCCAGACACTTAAATATTATTATTAATATGGTTAATGTATTGTGCAGCATGATCACTACATTAATTGTTACAGTAATTAAATTGCAAATAATACCATAACCCAGCTAGAAGCAAACTCAGTGATAATTTATTGTTACTTGATTGGAATTTTTACAACAAGTATTTGGACTTTTTCAGCGTCCCTGTGGATGCACGCTAACAGATTTAGTTGCGTCCACTGTCAATTTTTATATGTATAGGACGTAGGAATTTGCGTCCCGCAAATCACTGAGTCTATATTTCCTCAGTTTCTGATTCTCCCTTGTCACTGTGGCTCATTTTCAATTTAAACTTGTTTGATTCTATCAAAATTATGTATATTCTGAGACTACGCATTAGTCTGTTCCTGGTGTGCTCAAGGGAAGCAACTCTGTACAACAAAATGTCTCAGACTACAGGGGGGTCCACGCCCCAACAAGAGCATGAGTAAGTCTGTTACCCTCATTCCAAAGGACTGCATTCTTTGTGCCACTTCCTTTCCTATTCTCCCCAGGCCAATGATTCCCAGTGTCTTGCCGTTCAGTTCCGATCCCATGAACTTCTTGCGGTCCCACTTTCCTTCTTTCATGGACTGAGCAGCTAAAGACAGCTCCCTGAAACATCATCATAATCAAATAACCTCCAACAAGATTTCCTAACTATAGTCATGCCAACCCACAATTTCTGTAAGGGGGAATAAATTTAAATAAATTATGAGTTCAAGCATTTCTCTTCAGCAAATGGTTGTATTGAGGACCGTTCATAATTTAGGGCTAGGAGGGGTGATGATGATATTTATGGAGAAGCATGTACAATGTGAATGACCACCCCTAAAATATATGTACAAAATAAGTGACTCCCCCTGCATGTCATGTACAAAATCAATTACCCCCCCTCCCCATAATTTCTTAGCACAATTTTAAACATATTTTATGTACAACATTGCTGACCCCCAACACACACACACCCCCAGTACAAAATTGTGTACAAAATTGATGATGCCCCCTAGCTCCCCAGAACAAAATGGGTGACCCCCTCTTAGACAGTTTAAGAAAACAAGACTTTGACTACAGACCTCACATTAAATAAAACAATTTTAAATTAATTTTGAATATGTCAAAGAAGTTAACCTAAACCAAATTGAGAGCTTTTATACACATTTTTGCAACATATTTTGTATCCCATTTCACCACCATCATTACTTCCAACTGATGAAGCTCACCTGGTCATGGCTATAACAAGGGTACAGGTGTGTTCTGCAGCACTCAGTGTGTTCCCGCCAGGTGTGCTAAAACAGAGAAACTACTGTCCACACAACCAGTAACTTACAGTACAGTATGTCAGTTGAATCAGTGTTTGTCATTTCAATGGGGAGGGCTTGCTTGATGTATATTTGACTTAAAACTACTTAGATAAAACCCACAAGTGAGTGAGTGGGTTGGTTTATATGTAGCTGTGGGAAATATTTAAGCAATGTAACAGGAATGGACACGAGGAATGGGCTTCACACACTGTGTGTACAACTCATGCAGTAAGTCACATGTTATATTTAGGATTACACTTTCTCAGTAAAGTACAGATTCTAATACTTTTGTTGGGTTGAGTCCCATCCAGAACAGGAATGGATGCTAGGAATGGGCTTCACACGCTGTATGTACGACTCATGGAATTACACGTTATATTTGGGATTACATTTTCTCAGTAAAGTACAGATTCTAATAGAGTTCCATCCAGGATTCGAACCCACTCAGAGTCAGGCACCTAATTGCCAGTGTGTAATCACACCTAAATGCCAGCACACAAAGTCAGCCATCTAACCCACTCAGCCACCCGAGGCTTCCACTGACCCTGAGGTCACCGTGTGGATTCGATGTAGTATGATTATAATATAATTTATATGAATTGGATAGTATAAAATGAACATGATTTATTTTGGCTCCACATCAATGGTCTATGGTAGAGGTTGATTCAAAAACTGCTGCCAGATCTTCGCTGTGCTACCCAAGGCAACACAATACCCATCTTACCAATTTCAAGAACGACAGTGAGTGAGTGAGCAAGTTTAGCATTACGCCGCTTTTAGCAATATTCGGACAATATCACGGCGTACGACACCACAAATGGGCTTCACACATTGTGCCTATGTGGGGAATCGAACCTGGGGCTTCAGCATGACGAGCGAACGCTTTAACCACTAGGCTACCCCACTGCCCCACAAAAAAGACAGAAAAAAAGGCAGTTTACATTACTGTAGCACTTGGTTTTACGTATCATGGCCGACCTAAGTCACATATGATGTCATGAGTGCAAAAGGTCACTTACTTGCTAGCGGAATATGAATAATGCCAGAAGCAGAGATAGCAGAAGATGTTTTTTGCAATTAAAATATAAACAAGAAGACAAAGTCATCAATATCCCCCGCAATGGCAAAATACTCTTCATTATTATGTCTACGAGTTGTCAAATATTTAGGTGTGTATATAGAAAAGTGGAAATAGAGTATTGAAAGGTTTTTAAAGTTCTGCTCCAGAAAGGAGCACTATCACCAATTTCAGTCTATGTCACACTTGTTGCCATGGAAACGCCAAAAATATTATATTCAGAATTCCAAAACTACCAAAAAGGAACCAGTACACCACCAGATCTATGTATGTGCCAAGTTTGGTGAAGAAATATTGAACGGTTTTAGAGTTCTGCTCCGGAAAAGAGCACTACCACTAATTTCAGGCTAAGTCAAAACTTGTTGCCATGGGAACGCCAAAAATATTTTATTCAGAATTCCAAAACTACCAAAAAGGAACCAGTACTCCACCAGATCTATCTATGTGCCAAGTTTGGTGAAGAAATATTGAACGGTTTTAGAGTTCTGCTCCGGAAAAGACAAATGTGCACGGAAGGACGGATTGACGCACGGATGGAGTCCATTTAAATACCCCCCGCAAAACACGTTGCGGGAGATAATAATAATATTTTTGCATAAAAAAATTGGGGTACATGTTTCTGATGACTTTATCAGTCACCCAGTCAGTTGCATTCTCTTCCCACAGAGGTTACTCCTGTCATATCTTCCTACGTAACCTCTGTTCTAATACGGCCCTTTCATGGTGTGAGCGTTCAAGACTCGTGATTGGAGACAATCAGATTTAGTTGTGCAATCAGCGACGTTGTTTCAAAAGTGATCATTCGCAAGGCCTCGGTAATTTCCGTATACTTCGAGAAAACTAAACCTCTTCCCCTGCGCGATGCGCAAATGTTTCCTCTAGACAGAACTCAGTCATGTTATGGCGGATCAGTGGCGTCTCCATCGCCCTCGTTGACAACGGACAAGCTAGCCATTAAACGTCTTGTGTGTAACATCAACACAAGTCCCCGGCAGATGGGGGATATTTGTGGCTTCACATTTGCTTGTGTTAGTCAAGTTGAATCTAAGTCGATGTAACACGTGTTCTGATTGGATAGAAAGAAGGGAGATAATTCGTTTTGCGATCTTTTGCCGCTAGGGGATTTTAAGAGAACCTGGAAATATGGCCGTATTAGAACAGAGGTTACGTAGGAAGATATGACAGGAGTAACCTCTGTGGGAAGAGAATGAGTCAGTTGTTGCAGTCATCTATTAGTAGATGATGACACATACTTCATGACGATGACCCCTCTCCGAGTCGCGGCCTGACAGTCGATGTTGTCCACACCAGTCCCTGCTCGACCAATGATCTTCAGGTTTGATGCAGCATTTATAACATCAGCCGTGACCTTGGTCGCTGACCTTACTATTAAGCCATCATATTTCTGAAAAGATAAATCAATGAATAGATTTAGTTTGAGAAAATATTTAACAAGACAATTGTACTAAAAAAAATATAATGCAAACTCTGTCCTGTGTACAAGTCACCTTGGTCCAGATTGACCATGAAAAAGTCCACTTTCACAAATAACTTGGATTAGACCAGGGGAACCAACGCTATCACAATCTGCTGACCTAGCAGGTTGTTGTTACTATAAATACAAACCATGTTTACAAGTTAGACTGACTGACTGACTGACTGAGTTTGGTTTTACGCCACTTTCAGCAATATTCCAGCAACATCACGGCGGGGGACACCAGAAATGGGCTTCACACATTGTGCCCATGTGGGGATTCGAACCCGGGTCTTCGCCGTGACGAGTCAACGCTTTAACCATTAGGCTACCCCACCGCCCCCTAATAGATGTCGACCTCCAAATGGGCAAGGTACAAGGAAATTTGTTTCTCCTTCCAAGATTTAAAAGTGGTGAATATTTTCAGTTCAAACTCTGATGAGGCTAAAATAGTTCCTTGGCTTTTTTCAACCCTTCTTTGAGGAACTTTTACAAGTTGTCAAAGTTATCAATCCTCCAACGTCACCACAAAGCCCTACTTAAAAAATTATTGAAAATCCAAGTCCTATGGATAGTCAACTTCTTTATCGTATCATAATGAATGCGATGTTTAGACGTTCACTTGTTTGATATTGACTTGTGTTAGTATCTATACCGAAACGCTGCATTCATTGCCAGAAGGAAGTTGACTATCCACAGAACTTGGCGTTCCTTCTCGCAATGCTGTTTCTTGTTCACAAATCGGTGATAGCACAATGAAAATATTGACTGGCATACAACATTTTGGCTTTGGAGGAAGCACTTATAAGGAATACTTATAGATTAGTACCGACATTATGGCATTTAGGCAAGAGGTGCTGCTTTGACCACTGGGTGCTGGTTTGGAAAAGACGTGCTTATTTCAGCAATGGTGCCTATTTTGCAAAGTGTGTTTATTTCAGTAAGTCATACTTATTGAATGCTCAATTGATCAGGGGGTACATATTTTGGTGAGGCGTGCTAATATGAAAACAGGGTGCCTAATTCAGCAAGTCATGCTTATTGGAATGCATATTTGAGCAAAGGGTGCTTATTTTGGCACAGTGTGTGTATTTGAGTATGTGGTTATCAGCTTTGAGGCAAAGTTAAATTAGTGGGGCAAATTTCTTTGAGTCGGAGTTGCTTTTGTGAACAGGGTACTCATTACTATAGTTGTCTATAGTTACTATAGATGTAAACAAACCTCTCCACTGTTTTATACTGGGGCAGCATAGTTGGCAAATAAGATGGATCGGTTTACATGATGGAGACATTGTGGATTCCAGTAATCAGCGGCTTTAGCTTGTGCTTTCCAGTCTTGTTATTTGTCAACAACACTATTACTCGTTGTTTGAGCTGTTTATGTTGTTTAAGCTTAAGCAATTTAAACAACAGATGATGCAGCAAAAAAATATAATGTAGATTTTGTTTAGCAATTAAGATTCAATTGACTATCCAAAATAGATAGGCCGTTGTAATAAATAGTTGATAGGACAGTTTGTCAGGTCATCACTGCACTCGCATCACACAACATGTCATCACACAACATGTCATCACATCAACTTTTATGGAGCAAGCCTTTACACTGTGGTTTTACCAAATCAGCAGTATTGTCAACTGGCGTTATTGCGAGGGATGACTGTACTAAGCTGCTTTTGTCTCTCCAGATGTTGGACAAGAGAAATACACTTATGGATTTCAATTATGTTTATATTTCATCACTTATTATGATAATCAACATCTGGTACACAAGAAAAAAAAATATATTAGCAGTTGCTGAGCTGCATGACCAGATGCGATGTTTGAGCAGTGAGTATGTACCATTTAATGCCGGAGTTGCCCTTCCCAGAGTGGCCCCTGAACACTTAAGTGTTCCCACACTGGCCTCTCTTAATCCAATCAGCTTAATTACCAACAGTGTTGGACTAATTGCAGAGGCGTGATACTTTGAAAAAGCTTTGAATACCATGAAGAAGAAAAAACACAAAAAACCACAGAGTGTTTTACGATATATTTACATTATTCATGTCCATGGCTGTACACATACATATCCAGTCATATCACAAGTCACATATCACACGTCAATACACGTTTCAGTAGAGTAATGATCCACAAGCTAACAAATAGGAAGCCATGTCCCTCTCGCACATCATGTATTCAAGTCCAAGCTGGTAAATCTGATTGTTCATTCCTGTAACACGTCGTCGTTTAGCTGGTTGATGTTCACCTTCAAGTTGGAGAAGATATGCAGATCCGTTTAGATTATCTCACTATGTACTCTGAAGTTATCCCTTTGCTAACAGCATCAGCAGTCACCTTCTACTTAGCAGCAGATTAACTCTTTGTTTTGACAAATTATAAGTTGTCCCAAATTGGCCCCCACGTTCACACCTTCTTAAAGAGTTGTCCCGGAGTGGCCCCTGAATTTGGTTGTTACGTAATAGACCAGGGGGCCACTCTGGGAATACACCAGTATGTACAGTCACGTGCCATACATGCTTCTGTGACATGAACAGCTCTGTCCCTAATGGATTCTGATTTAAAATCATCAAAATTCTGCAGCAATATTACTAATAAACACTTCAGGTTGAAACCATAAGAATGTATAAAAGTGAGAAATATATATTTCAAACTTTCATTTAATGGGAGGATTCGCATTTTGTATTAGTGTCACACGTTAAATGTTTTGTCATCATTCAAAAGTAAAATTTGAGAGAAAGTTTAAATATTATGAAAACTAGTGAACTGATTTATTAAAAGGACAATTTTGATATATTTCAGTAATTCTGCAGTAATGGCAACATTTTCTGAAAACCTTTCCATAATGGTGGAATCACAGAATTCCTCTGGGACTGATTCCATATTGTTTAAGAAAGGATGCATAGTTTTATAGTCAGTTAATCAGCCAATCATTCAGACTATGTTTTCAAATACTTTAGAAAGGCCAATCATGTTCTCATATCAAGAATTTTTGCTCATTACAGACACATTCAGAAAGAAAAATTTACACAAGCCAGATGTGTTTGAAATATAGTAAGTACTTGCAAATACAAGAGCAAAGTCTACGATGTTTCCCCTCAAAGGCAAAACTGAACATACAGTCGAAGCTGTCAAAACCGGCAGCTGTCCAATCCGGCAAGTTGTCAACATCGGCATAAAATCTCAGTCCCGTCCATGGCTAGTACATTTATCATCATTTAAAAGCTCTGCAATCCGGCAGCTGTCAATTCCGGATCTCAGCATGAAATGAGCCACCCGAATATGTCTTTATACAGTAATCAGCACTGTCTAATCCAGCGCATGGCAAGGAGTCAGTAATCCTGTATTGAAACCACATGGTTGCCGACAAAGATAATTTAATCTTAGTTCAGTATGGGTGAACTTGTACATGTGATTAGTGAATTGAGAGAACCACCTTATACAACAATGTATATATATGAGAGTGATAAAACTGGTTTAGTTCTAGTTGTAGGTAAACCATGTCAGCTCTACATTTAGACAGCTTCCACTGTATTCTTATGCTGAGCTGGTAATTAAACTTTGCTGTACATGTATTTCATGTTAATTTTCAAAACTGAAACAAAACATTAATAAAAATAGAATATTCAACTTCATTTTAACTTGTAATTCAGCAATTTATTTTTTCACTTTGACACACTTCAGGGGATACTGTAGCAATTACATATCAACCACCTTTGGTATTGTTTTTCCAAACAAACTATTTGGGGAGGTTCTGGAGGTAGATTCATGGCGTTCCAACACTAATTTGAAACTAATATATACAAAGACTATAGAATTTGTATATGACATGCAATAGTACCAAAAATACTAGATATAGCCCTTGAAAATTATTAAAGCATTGGAAAATAAATATTTATGCAAATCTCTTTGATCTTTAAAGGCAAACATGCTGTCCTGTAGTGGCTTCTGAATAATATCAGCATACCAATGACATAACAAGATAACGCTTTTGAAGGAAGCAATAATAACACTAAACACAATGAACTTAATGGTAAGGAGACAACATCATCACAATACTATTGATCTGTTTGTTGTACCTGTTTAAAAACAATGCTTTTGTGCAGATTTTAAGGGTATGAAATATTATTGATGCTGTATTTTATATGGCATGTGATAATAAAAGCCAGAAAAAGGCACCAGAATAACACTGTCATCAAGCCCATTACATGTCAGTGTTTCCAATGTGTTACACAGCTGTATAGAATGTAATGGTGCTGTTACAGCTGGGGGGGGAGGTTATTATTTATCCATGATGGAGGGAGTAGCTGCTGCTTTAATGAATAAATATCAGGTGACTGTTTAATGGTCATATCATAGAAAGAGCTGACATAAATGTTATAGTGTTACCTAATATGTATATACTGAGAGGAACAAATGAAGGATCACAGGACTGAGTGAGTATGGTTTTACGCCGCTTTTAGCAATATTCCAGCAACATCACGGCAGGGGACACCAGAAATGGGCTTCACACATTGTACCTATGTGGGGATTCGAACCCGGGTCTTCGGCGTGACGAGCCAACGCTTTAACCGTTAGGCTACCCCACCGCCCCGAAGGATCACAGGAAAATTCAAGTGTTCCTTTGATATTTTCCAGTTTTCATCACCAGCTTTGAATAGCGCTGTGGTAATGAAAACTGGAAAATAATAAAGGAACGTTTGAATTTTCCTGTGATCCTTTTTTTTTCTCTCAGTATATATATATATACAATGAGCAGTTGTGGTTACCACGGTTACACATCCAACGCACTATGACAATACTGTCATGTGATTTTAAAATTAAACTGAATTTTTTTAAGTGAGTGATTTGGGGTTTTAATGCAATAACTGTATTCCTGATCTCAGAGTATGTTGGAAGAAATCTTACATGAAGGTCTCTGACGTGAAACCGACGAGGGCAGGTACCGTGTTGACACACGTCCACTAACAACCATGGCACACATGGATTCAAACCCACAATCACAGGTTTTCTCACCGACAACTGCAACAGCTCACACCACTGGACCACCAAAAAATTCAAAATTTTAAGGATTTCACCACAGCGTATTTTTAAAGAAACATCATAATATGAATTATTAAAGTTCCAAGCACAACGGCAACTCAAACAACAGTTCTGCTGCAAAGCGGGACATTTTAATTCATTTACATGCACAGTCATGTTATCAACATTTTAACACTGAACTGAATTTTCTTCACAACTTCAACACTATTTTTAAATTAGAGATATGAAGTAGCACTAATTTATCCATTAAATAAGGCAATTATTAACTTTCAAATACAAGGACATATATTTAGTTACAATTAAAAAGGTTTTGTGTGCAAGTTATGTTTATTCAAAGTAACCCGTGAAGGTCCGGGTTAGAATATTGATCTTCAGTAACCCATGCTTGTCATAGGAGGCGACTAATGTGATCGGGTGGTCAGGCTCGCTGACTTGGTTGACACATGTCATCAGTTCCCAATTGCGTAGATCGATGTTCATTATGTTGATCACTGGATTGTCTGGTCCAGACTCGATTATTTACAGACCGCAGCCATATAGCTGGAATATTGCTGAGTGCGGCATAAAACTAAACTCACTCACTCACTATTCAAAGTATGCTTCCATGATATTTATGTCTACAATGAACAACTTTTAAATTTTGCAAAAAGTATGAATCCCTGAGCTCTTGTGCATCATTTTATCTGAAATACATAATTAATGGAATACTGTAGGAGTCAATTCTTTTTTTGAGAACATTCTCTTGACCTATAGAAATGTAGTGCTTCAAACATGCATCATGTGTATATATGTGTATATGGCATATTGTATAAATGTTTATTATCTTTATAAATTTAATCTTCTAATCCTCTTATAAGATTACTTGGCAGAAGATAGATAGATAGATAGTGAAGTGGGAATTATTTTTGTTTCAACAGACATTTCTTTTCCATATAGCTTTAAGTACTTTTATTTCATTATCTCAAAAATTAAAAGACAAAAAAAACCCACAACATCGGTTGCATCAGCCTAAATATGCCAAGTCAGCAATGTCATGATGTCCTAAGACGGAGTTCAGTCAGCTGGCAGAAAAATCAATTACGTTTCACAATATAAAAACAAGAAGATGATGAAATCTTAGCTCTGATAAAACAGAGAGACTTGCTGACACTATTTTCGGAAGACACGTCGTCGACAAATTCCGTGCAAGTCATTGACCTGCTCGACTGAACCCTAACTAATTTATCTCAAACAATGTTGAGGAAATCTTGAGCGCATCGCCCAGTGTAGACTGGTGCCCAGTCAACAATAGTGTGGCCCGGGGACTTGACCTAAATATCAGCTGATTGATGATGAAATCTTTCCAGGGGGGTTTTCTGTGTACTATTATCCAGTAACTATTCTCATCAACTTCAACCTTCTATCGATTAAATTGTAAGGCGCATCTTTAATGTTTCTTCAAGCCACAAAAGCTTCCAAATGCAGTTATTACTGTAATTTATTGTGAAAAGTCCGAACAGTTTATGTCAGATAAACAAACTGGTTTTTTTTGTTTTTTTATTTTAACGTTTTTATTTCCCAGTACATGTTTACATGACATTATAATTATGAATAGATATTCACATATACAAGACATACATAAATAGATAGTATTTACAACAAAAAACTGTTGGTAAAAGAAAACCACAGTCCAGCACAACTAGTTTGACAAATATTGTAAATTCATTTTTATCAAAGGTGATTGGTTGAACAAACAAAATTAGTATTGACACCAAACAAAATAATAAACATGCTTCAAAGATATACAAAACAAGTACAACCTAATATCAATGGGCACAGCTTGGACCATACTAATTTGACTTAGCTGAGAGCCGCGATGCAGTCCTATACTGTATAGGAATAAATTTGACTAAGTGTCCATTAAATAAATTATATATATCACACTACAATAATGGGTAGGGAAAACTTCTGTGACACACTGGTTTATCTGTGACTGTTTTAAATGTTTTATAACATCTACCAGCACGAAAAGAGCAAATCAAAATTTTTACAAATCAGCTGGCATTGAAGAATGATCAAATAAATTAAAAGTAGTTGTCCATCGAACATAATAATTTGCATATGTAGGTCATTGTCAGTGTAAACTTCCACTCTAAGTATGTCAACTCACCGGTATTTCTGCGAGTAATTCCTCTTTTGACAACTTGGTATTTTTAATCACTTCGATTCCATTATTTTCCAAGATCTTCACACATTTTGGGTCCACTTCATCGCTAATAAGAACTTTGCGTAGTGCAATAACCATTTTGCTTGGGTCGGTGTTCTGTCAACGTAACAGGTGGTCGTATGTGACAGCGTGGTGACAGTTTTCCAACAGACAACGAAATAAGGGTTCCGCGGCTTATATACTCGGCGCGGAGCGATATTGCATCAAAGTGATGAAACTTAACAATTGATAAACAAAATGCATAATTGAAAAATGTTTTATGTAACTCCCACTTGATACGTGAAATGTATTAAAGTTGGATGAAAGGGATATCGATCATTTTCACATTGTTTATATAAGGACTATATTCCTGGCGTATGTATTGTCAAACTGTGTGTCACGTGCGTTCTTTCTTACAATGAAAATTGCTGATGGAAATTTCACGTGGAAACATGTCGTGATTTTCGACATATAATTTAGTGTTTGAGACGCCGTGCTTTGCTTTGCATGCATAAATACGTAGGGAACTGTGCAATAATATGTATGTATTATTGTCAAAAGATTATTTGAATATACAGAGCTATTTACACATCGATTGATATTGACATTTTGAATGAATATATTGACGTACGAGCAGTTGGTGAGTCACTCTCTTTCACGAGGCATAGATAAGTAATCCTACTAGTTATATCAATAACAGCAATATTAATGATGATGATAAGATAAGCGATGATGATGATGTTACATGATTCTGAGGTTCGAATGCCGTAATCGCCGTAGTATTTGATGTTCCCCCGACACTTTTAGCACCATTACTCAGACGGAAGTCTCCTTATTTTAATGTTTATTATTAATTTATTTTTTATTACATAAAATAGCTGTAGAATCGGTAAAATAATAGCCTCATCGTTACCATCAAACGTTTAGTTTCATCAACGTTTGATCTAAATGATCGCTACCGTTCAATCTCTGAAGAAAGATTAAAATCGTTTTAAATAAATAAATAAATAAATAAATAATAAAAATAATGTTGGTGAATCCAACATCCGGACATGCGTCTTCGTGTCAAGTGATTTTATTATAGGTTTATACACTATAGCTCAGCACCTAATTTTCACCTGTGTACCCATTACTCTTTATCTCTATTTGACTTTGAATGGTTTGTATTTGGGGACCCCAGTTGGCTTGCACTTGTTTTCGGAGTACAGGCAAGAAACTTATTTGAGCTCAGTTGTGTTGTGTCGTTGGTTTAAAAGAAAATTGTGTTGGTCACAACAAGTGACCATTGTGACGTCATATATAGCCATCCCTGGATCGGGATAGTAAGGGTACAAGTCCACGATAAATGTAGGCTTTATGTTATTAACTCTCATGATCGTTTGTATTCGATACGATTCTAGTGCATGTACTGGTTAGCTATCTTTCAGAGGCACTCTAGAAGTTGTAAGTAATAGGCATGGCAAGTCTTTGTGGATGATCAACTGCATTATTATACAAAAGCGACGATTCGGTATATAGAGAATCTCACCCAAGTGTCTACTGATATCAATTATATCAACACGAGTTGATAAAGTTACAAATATCCGAGGCTTGCCGAGGATATTTTTACCTTTATCAACGAGTATTGATATAATTGATATCAGTAGACACGAGGGTGAGATTCTATTTATCATCAAAAATCATTCTTTGTGTAGTTTCCAATGAAAAATGCACATCTCTCAACATTGTACTACCATTAGACTTGCAGTTCAGCGATGTCATAGCATTGTGACGTCACCAAGTTCATGACGTCATAACATTGTCAGGGCATTGTACAAAATCTACTGTCAAAACGAGATAGGAGATATATGATCTCAAATAAGCGATATCTCCTGTGGAATACAGTTTTGGATGATAATATACAATTATAGACTCTTGTAGAGGTCGATATCGGTTTTTATTGACCTGAGTAAAACAATATCGATATTAACAGGGCCATACCGCTGATTTGACACTATGCATCTTACTCAAAAGAAACAGTAGCGGTAGCGTGGTCGAGAGGTTGAAGGGTTGGCTTGTCATGCAGAAAGTCTGGGTTCGATTCCCAACATATTACGCTGTATTGAACTCGCTATCGTGCTATCGGGCGATGTTTGCATTGAATATAATGTTAAGTGACGTAAAACATTTTCGCCCATATTTTATTTTATATAACCTGGTTTAAAGGAAGCATTTCACAAGTTAGAATTTGAATAATGTCTGGATTACGTAACCTGAGGGATGAAGAATGAATACATCAGCATGCTAACCATTTCTTGTTTGTTATATTTTTATCCATCATCAAACATGAGTGCATCTTTTCTTTACCATGCAGGTAATATGCGGAACTTATTCACACATGCGGGGACGGTGAGGTAGCCTAAAGGTTAAAGCGTTCGCTCGTCACGCTGAAGGCCCGGGTTCGATTCCTTACATCGGACAATGTGTGAAGCCCATTCTGGTGTCCCCCAGCCGTGATATTGCAGGTTTATTGCTAAAAGCGGCGTAAAACTAAACTCACCAACTCACTCCTCACACATACACTAAAAGACGACACTCCGTAGAACTGGAATACTGTTCAGAGACTCGCTCCCTCACTCACTCACTCACTCACTCATCACGATCACTCACTCACCAACCCATTCACTCACTCACTCACTACATACGGGAAACCTAAGAATATACCAAGCTTTATTATACAGTGCTTCCGACTGGAGAAGTCGGGGTGGAGAAATACTATACATTGTATTTCTTTGGGTAAATCAATGGTATGTCTTCTAAACTACATTAAACTATGGTTGTATGAATTTCGACAAGAATATACGGAAAGAGGTCGGGACATGACAACAAGTTCGTTATATCAGTCAGTTCGTTATAACCGAGTTTGTTTGGATTTTTGCGTGGATCGATGAATCACAAGATTGTCCGGTCAGTATTCGATCATTTACAGACTGTCGTCATATTATAAAGCTGGAATATCGGTGAATGTGGAATGAGATTACTGAAATCAACCCTCCGGCGAAGGTGTCCAATCTGAAACTGTTTTGTTAGAAACATCTACACAAATAAATAACTATGGATCAATGGGTGTTCACAGTGTACATTGTACTGACTGACTGACTGAGTTTGGTTTTACGCCGCTTTTAGCAATATTCCAGCAACATCACGGCGGGGGACACCAGAAATGGGCTTCACAGATTGTACCCAGGTGGGGATTCGAACGCGCAGTGTACATTGTAGATTACGGAGATGGTTCTGAGGGATCTTCAGATATCACAATCCATTTATCAATTATCTGCAGTCACGCAGCACACCTTATCTCGAGCAGTTGCCAGTCTTTACCTTTAACCCTCTGTACACACTTGATAGAAGCACAATGCTGTCTATTCAAAGTGGTAAATCATCGTAACTCAGGCACACTGATAAGCCGCATAACCGTAACAGCATATGGTCAAACTAAGACCTTAGCTTTACGACTATCTTAAGTCTATCAGAGTGCGTAAAGTAGGACGCTGTCCCACTGAGGGGGTAGTGAGTGAGTATGGTTTTACGCCGCTTTAGCAATATTCCCGGGGGACCCTAGAAATGGGCTTCACACTGTGGGCCCATGTTGGGAATCGAACCCCGGATCTTCCAGGAGAGAGTTGTTTTGTAATTGTATTTTACGTGTTATAGTTACTGAACATATATGTGTGACTAGAGACTGAGGGCGGTGACACAGGGGAACATTTCAAGAGGGTGGGCGTTGTATAAGCGAAAGATGAGTATGTCGTTAGACCAACACCACCCCAACCGCACCCCTCCATACGAAAAGACCACCTACACTGTAACGTAGACTTACGACAATCGTAGCGCTCCGATAGCTTTGTGAGACGGGCCCCAGTCCTTCATGTGCACATTTGTAGTCTGTATATGCATTTCAATTTCTGTAAGTTTGATACAACTCTTGCCACTACCACTGAATTATATTTTCTAATGTATATCTTCTGCTGAAGTAGAAGTGCATTAAGTCTAATTTCATCAAACCTGCGTCCACACAGATCCTAGACTAACATCTAGTGTTTGAAATGAACATGTTCTACAGAAGAACACCAGAAAGTACAAGTGTTCTTTTGTTCTTTTCCAGTTTTCTTCACAAGCTTTGTATTGCACTGTGGGTGAAAGTCTGGAAAAGAAAGGAACACGTGTACTTTCATGTGTTCCCATTTTCGTTTCCATGAGTAAAATATAATAAAAAGGAGCCCGGAGACTTTCTTCAATTTCTAGACTTGTCACACATTCTAGACTTGCATGGGCTGTATTGGGTATAATTGGTTCATGGTCTGTACTAACAGGCTACAAAGATAAGGCGCTTGGACATGTGATTTACGTAGCATCAAAGGGTGCGTGAGTACGGTTTTACGCCGCTTTTAGCAATATTCCAGCAATATCACGGAAGGGGACACCGGAAATTGGCTTCACACGCTGTACCCATGTGGTGAATCGAACCCGGGTGTTCGGCGTGACGAGCGGGCGCTTGAATAACTAGGCTACCCCACCGCCCCAAAACACCGTACACGCATATTGACGAAAGTGCCGGAAAATCTTCATTTGCCTACACCTTGCATCATACATCTGGACTGATATTTCGCCCCATAATAAAATTTAAATAATAATTTGAAAATTTAGAAGCCCAGAATAGTTCGTAACTTAAGCCCAGAGATATAGCAATCTAGACTTTTTCCCATATATTCTAGAGTCTTGTGGCATCCCTTTGTAGTTTATTCAACAGGGCAAGGAAGACAGAATATGGTACGTCTATCACAAACAGGTGTGTGTGGCATAATGATGTTGTAGATTTGATTAGTGTAGATTATCAACTTCTGTTTATAACGGCTGAAGAAATTCTTTGGTGTATATCTGTTCAGTCTAGAAACTAAAAAACGAGTCAGCAACATCAGACCACACCCCAAAATATCCACAAACCACTGAGACCAAGGCTAACCCGCCACCCCGTGCCACCCCCACTCCACCACAAACACCTCTACCCCGTAGCTCACCAGCAACTGCTCGGACTATCCGATACTGTGGGTAGCTCCATCTCAACAACGTTTTTATTCCTTTTGCTTTACATAGTAATGTCATTGTATTTCATCCATACTGCCCTTCGCAATGGTATTGCTCT